GCCTAGCGCCCGGCCTACTCTACTCAGCCTATCTACCTATCTACGTTCTTGCAACAGGATCACATCGAAGTCGAAGACCAATGTACGTGATGTCAACATCAATGCTGACCTCCAGCATACACCAGGTACGTTCTCTCTCTCTCTCTCTCTCTTCACCCCTTGTCTCCTGCCTCATGCACCTCCTACCCGAAGACCACCTTCGTCATCACCTGCCTGCGCCCCTGCAGCCCGGCTATGGCTGCTGCGCGTCCTCTGCCTCAGCAGCGCCCCTCACCTCAGCGCCCGTGCGCGCATCCGACCGCAGCGCACATGCAGACACCAGCGCAGCAACGCAGCAGCGTGTCGGCATTGCTTGCCAAGGCCAGAATGTGCTCACATGGGGCACGCTCTTTCCTTTATCGAAAGTGGCCGCTGCTGGCTGGCCTGTCCAGGCGTGTGGGGGGCCCAGTAACTTGCCTCTGGCCCCAAGTGTCTGCGCCCAGGCCCAGTTTCAGATACTGGTCTGGGCCTCGTTAGGCACGTCCGGGCAGCCACCCAGCCTCCAAGTGTTTGCAGCCTCTTCATTGGCTCGCGGCACTTCTGTGACGACAATGCTGCTTCCTCATTGGCCCATAACCCGTCCGTGATGTGTCGGCCTCGCACAGCGTGTGCCCAGGGCACAACCGCCTGAGCCCTGGGCTCAACTGTACAGCACGGCCCCTTGCTTCTGGAAAGAGACTGGAGGCTCACGTTGCTCTGTAACCAACTGCTGTGCTGAACTGTCTGAGTACCCACATATGGAAAAATGACGAAAACAGGCCTCACGTCCATTTTCAGGCCCGCCTTCACTTAGGGTGGGCACAGGCTTGCTAGGGGCCCCAGCCCAGAACACTTGTATGTCTGATAAGGGCCCTGTGAGGGCTCATTCCTCGCATGTTGTTCTCTTCCGAACAATGATAGGGTACTTTTGCTACATTATGTTGGGGGTAGGTTGTTTCAACACACTTCTATGACACACCCATATGCATTTATGGCTGGCCACTTTCCATAGGCAACGTGTGCTCCTCAGCTCAAATCTCCCTGCAACCCAAACACTGACTGGACTCTTGTGCCATTCCATAGCAGTCTGCTCGGGTGGCGAGTATGGAGAATCCTGTGAAGTTTGTCGTTCCTCTGTTCTATTCCTTGTCCCTCAACTTCCCTCCTCTTCCCCTTCTCCCTCCTCCCCCTCCCCTTTTCCTTCCTCCCTCCCCTTGTGTAGAACTACTCAATGCATATGAATGACCATCATTAAACCACCACTACACTCCAAGCCTCGTTTTGTGGAGGCGGAGTCTCGCTGCGCGCCAATGGGTGCCGAAACGCGCCAGCGCGGCGTTTTTGTTTCCTTTTGGTTGGCGCCACCAGCCTTTGTAGTCCGGTAGCCCCGAGGCCCGAAGATTTCAGATGGGGCTCAACTTGGACTTCCCGCTTGCCTGTGAAAGCCTAGTGGTGGTTTGAACAAACAGACAAATATTAGTCAAAACTGTGCTGAAGAATGACTTGGAGTATACCTACCTCCCCCCTTACTCTGCCTCCTTTTTTCATAGCGTGCAAGTGGGCCGTTATGGCACATGGGGATGTGGGCAGCGCGTGCTCAACGACAATCAACGTGGCGAGACTTGTACATGAAAGGCACCGAAGAAAAAAGGGGAGCTGCAAGAAGAAATAAAAGCGTGGTCCCCAAAGAATGCTGAACTAAGGAAGGCGAAGAAAGGACCTTACAACGAAAAGGCAATATAACGGTTTTAGTGTGCTTTCATGTCGTTTGCTTAAGAGGTTAGGTTGTTTCATTCTTGGATCTGCTCATCTTGCTTAGTGTATGCGTCGTTTTCTTTTGTATACTATTAGAGAGATGTGAATCTGTTTCAATCTTGGATGTGCTCATCTGGGTGGAAAAGTGGTTGTTGTGGTGACAATTTACACCACACATTTATGGTTGTGCTGCAGACTACCGTCTTTAGAACGCCCGGTCATTATAGCTGCATTTGGCCTAACTTTCAGTCCAGATGCAGCGATAATGACTGGGCGTTCTATACGGGTGAAGACGGTAGGTTCTCAGACTTACCGCAGCTGACAGCCCACACTCTGCTAGGCTTGCAGGCCTGGTGTGAGTGAAGGTGACCATTTTTCCCAGGGGTAGCACCTTTTTTTTCTTTTTCTTTTTTTTTTTGTCTTCATGATTTATACAATTCCAGGAAGTGGGCCCGGTGTCACTTACAAGAACAGCAGCCCACGTAACTCTCTCTGACATGGTGTCCTTATGATCTTATCCAATCGACTGGAGTCCCTGCAAGACAGGTAGGAGTGCATGCTCTTATCATCACTCCTATCTGTCGGTGCAGGGTTCAAAAAAAAAAAAAAAAAAAAAAAACTTGGTAGGCTATGGGGGGTTCAACCCTACAGATGAGTGATTTCGAGTTCACTGAAATGGTCGCCGCGGCACAGGCATGCTTTTTTTTTGTTGGGGGTGTGGTTCGACAGCGGGGTTGAGCGCAGTCCGAAAAAAAAAAGGGGCGACGTCCTTGAGATATCATCCTTGACGTGACCGGCCCCAGGTAATTCAGAAGTAGAATCTATTCATTCCATTCCATTCTTTTTTTTTTTTTTTTTTTTTTTTTTCATTCCATTCCATTCATGTACGTCCTGATGTCCATCAACGATTCAAATTTCAAACTCAAGGTCTGTTTTTCAACGTACCGGTCCCTTAACTGTTGCAGGAGGGGCACCCCGCGCCCCTCCAGCCAAAACCCATTTTTTTCGAGTGTCGTGTTTTCTGGCTAGAGTGGCGGGGTGTACCACCACACCCTCAGCTCCCCACCCCTTTTTCCTTTCGACCGAATTTGAGCCCCTATTGTTTTATAGGGTTGCAGTGCACAGAGCCTGCACAGGTGTGTGTGCCAGTGTGTGCTTGCACAGACACTCAGCGTGTCCATGGTGTGTGCTGCATGTATGCTGTGAGCTGTCTGATGAACATTGTCCGCCTCCTACCCTCTTCCCCCGGACTACAACAAACGTTCTTTATAGCTGTATGTATTTGGGGTATCTTTCAGTCTAAATACACAGCTATATTGACCGTACATTGTCTTCGGGAGGAAGAAACTAGCATTGGTGTTGGTTTACTATCTAACTTCACTGCACTTTCCTATTCTAGCGTGGCCTTTGTGGCTGGCAACCAAGGCCACATGTGGTTTGATGAACTTTTATCTATATTTCACAGGTTAAATCCGCTGTGTTTTTATCTATATTTCACATGTGGTTCATCGAATAGTCGTGATCTCCAGGGGGTCGTGCTCCTGATCTCCTCCCCTCTTGGTGGCTGGCAACCAAGAAGAAGAAGTAAGAAAGAAGAAGAAGATGATGTACTCCAGGATAGACCAATGACAAGGGTCTTCTTCATCGCCAACCAATCTCCTCCTCCTGATCTCCTCCCCTCTTATTCAAACAAGAAATAACAATAATAAAGTTGAATGGCTGAACCAGAATCAATGTCCGAATCCCACTTCTACTGCAGGCACAACATGAGGTCCACCATAATAGCCATGGCCACCCTTCCTCTTCCTCTACATGCAGGCTGAGGCTATGGCAGAGCACTGAGGGATCTACCCTCCTGTCCAAAGGACAACCCAAAGCAGCTATGTCGCTGCCTCCCTGTGCAAAGGACAACGCAAAGCAGCTATGCCGCTGCTCACTAGGCCGCCTTGCCTGTCTCTGCCCCAAGCTTCCTTGGTGCGGCACTACCCCAACGGCAACGGGGGCCTTCCAGATGCGGCGCCTAACAAGGTGATGAAGATGGTGTCCACCATAGCGAGGTAAGTACCTCGCCACTCTCCTCCTTGGTYCCCTTCTCCCTCCTCCTCCTACCGGTAGAGCTCCACCATAGCCAGGGTGGAAGCTCCCGGCTTCTTCCTCCCAGCAGCGCTGTAGTACCCAGCGCTACTCCAGCCAGCGCTCCAGCAGCGTGTCGCCAAACTTGCACACTGAAGAATGAGGCCG